TATTTTCCTTTTTACATAACCATCGATCCAATACTACCCTACTACAAAAAGCTATTTATTTATTTACATGTGTACTCTTTTTTTTTCTTTTTAGGTAACCATCTACCTATTCATCACTTTAACTATTATATAGAACAAGGAAGCCATACCCAACACAAAGAAAAATACCGAGAATAAGTAGTACAATGACATGGAGTAGGTCTATCTTGTAACCGCGAGTAAGATACACTCATCAAAATGACAAAGGAGCTCCCTCGGTAACAAGCTCCAAGGAAAACATAGCCATCATTGTAAATTCTTCACCCCTATATCACAAGAATTGGGTGAGCTATTACTTAATAAGTTAATCATGCATGATATGGATGTATGCAAGTGAAATGAATATGAAAATCACTTTTATGTCTTTTCCAAAATCTTTTTCCATATCATGAAATCTTTTCCATGATCTTTCCGAAAACTCTTTTTTGCATTTGATGTCTCCTACTCGAGTGTTCAAATGTACACGTCTATACATACTCAATCTTTTATCGAGTATCTAAATGTACACGTCTATACATGTTTGGTGTCGAGCATCTTAATGTTGACATTTTGCACATGCTCGATCTTATCGAGCGTCTAAATATGCACATCCGCACATACTCAACCCATGCAAGCCATGAAAACTCTTTAAATTTTCTTTTGAAAAATCATGATAGAAATCCCGTTGATGATATTAAATCTTTCCATGACTTGGTATGGACATGCATTTGAATGTCAATGTATAATCTCGTCGAGCTAATGTAATACATGCCATGAGTAAGGTACACTTATGCCATAACATTTCATACCTCAACAGTATAAAATTCACAAAAACATTCATTTCCTTACAATCCATGATAATCCATCTAAGGTACACAATTCAATCACAGAATATTTAACTCGATGTACCACGTTATGTCATATTTTGCAACGTCGATCAAACCATAACACATTGCACCAATTATTCATCTATGTCACAACTTTCATAAACATACACAATCAAGTCATAAACACTTAATTATCCATTTTAAGCACATGCATTGTACTTAATACATCATAAAGCCATCACTCAAAGCATCAACATATTTAAACACCAAAAGCATCCATAAACCTTAATTTCGCACTTTAGGTCGAATTCACACCTAGGTTAAACTAGGTGGATTTTTTTTTCAATCTTACTATAATTTTTCATACTAAATAATCTAATTATACTTTAATAACACATAATTAGTCAACCAAACATCAAATAAACAAAAGCACTAAAAACCCAAATTTGCATTGTTTTGGCCGAATGGTGCCTAAGTGAAATTAGTTTTATTTTTCAATTTTAAGGCTAATTTTCATGCTAAATCATCTAATTGTATTACAATAACAAGTTTTCAAGCTATCAAACATCAATTAAACAAATGCAACTAAAACCCTAAATTTTACTATTTGGGCCAAAACTTTTCCATGAAGTAGGCTAGAGAATTTTGCATTTTTGTTACTTGTTTTCATGCTCAATTAATATTTCTAACTTCAACTATATCAATTTCACATTCTAATCCATTTTTCTCAATTTGACTTAACTAAGAACCCTAACCCTAATTCACTAAATTCAAGTAATTAAACTCGAATTAATGAGGCAAAGTCCATAATTCACATACAATAATAAATTCTTGTGATATAGGTGAGATTAACTTACTTTAAAAATTATAAATTAGGCGAGTGTTAGGTTGAGTTTGCTTGAAAATCTTCCTCCCCCTTTTCCTCCTTAAGTTTCGGCCAAATGCTATGTTTTTCCTCTTTGACATTCTAGATCTTCCAAATAAAATTTTAGGCTTAATTAAGTATTTTAAGGGTGGTTTTAGTGTCTAAGTGAATTTGGTGTGCAATTTCCTTAGAAAATTTTGCAAGGGTTTGCCTTGATTTTCTAATTTTTCCAACATTTTCTCTTCTCCCTTCTAGCCAAATTTATAGGTGTGAGTGGTGGATTTTTAGCTTATTTCACTTAATCTCCTCCCTTCATTTGGTTTAATCTCAACCCATGATTCATCTTTTAATCCTAGCCCTTCATTTGGTATAATCCTAACCATTCATCCTCCTTTAAATCCTAGCCCTTCATCACATAAATCGCTAGGCATTCATTTGATTACATCATTTAATATGGTTGTGAGGTGGCTGGTTTAGGTGGAAATATTTGACCGAAAAAGTCAATTTTAGTTCCTTAATTTTTTCAGTTATACCCCTACTTTCAGTCCCTCTAATTTTAATCGACTAATTTTGATCCTTCCATAAGGTCTTTTCTAACATATTTATGCCTCCTTAAATTTATTTCAAAACTTATTTGAGAGTTAAAGCTTTTAATTCTATACAATTGGATCCCTAATTTTATGCAATAAGGTCCCCACCCTTATGCAATTAAATTCTTATGCATATAATTAATTCCATGCATATCTGAAAAATAATTTCTTTTGATAATAAATTCAAGCACTTCCTATAGTAATTTATTCATCAATGACATAATTTTAATACATATATTTAAACACTCAAAATAATTATTTTACACAAAAATGCACTTATTCATTCGGAAAATGTTCACCATGTCCTGAAAAATTCACTTAAGTGCATGAAATATTCCTACACCCCTCTAGTAATTTTTCTATACTCATAGAATAATTTTCACGCACATTTAAAATACTCAAAGCAATTATTTGGCTTAAAAAGTATTATTCAAGTATAGAAAAGCCTATAAAATATTTACTAAGTACAAAAAAATTATTCTAAGTGCATCGAATATTTTAGCATCCATCTAATAATTATTCTAGGTATATAAGATAATTTTCATAAAGATTTAATATGTATTGATTTATTTATTCTTAGGTTCGAGATATTACATAAAGTTGACAAGTGTCATAACTTATTGGACAACATTGTGATTTAACACTTTTAAAAAATAATAATAAAAAAATAAGTTAAGGAAGGAATGAAGCTAACAGAAAAATCAAATATAAATAGACGAACTTAAGATAAAAGTCACGATCAAAGCAAAAGAAAGAATAAAAAAACCACTGCAATCATTAACCCGGTGTAGATACCTCAAGAGAAATAACAAAAGCGCTTAAAGACGAGGGGTAAAATATAGAACTTGTGGCTAATATAAGTGTAATATATGTTCTTATCGATTTGTAATATATAACATGTAGGCTAATGGCCCACACGATATCAAATTTATCAAATTTTACTCGAATCTATTAAAAAATTACTTTTTAAACTTATAGTTGGTCTATAGTTGGTTTATTTTTTAACAGTTGCTAAATATAATTTGTCAAAAATTTCGTTTCAATCCTCATAATTTTTTTTAAAAAAATTGATTTGTGTCGTTAATTTTTTAACAATTTTGTCCTTTATTTATAACTTTTTTGGTCCTCAAAATTTTCATAAAAAACAATTTGCTCCCTTCTTTATAAAGTTTGTGCAAACAAGTCTTGTCATATATTTTTTTTTCCAAAAAATTTAGTTGCTATTAGTAAAATATAAAGTGAATAACCATTTACAAAATTCATATAAGCTGATATGTAGTTTGTTTACCTTTGCTTATCTTAATGCCTAGTAAATATTTTAATAGATATTGAATAGAGTGGATATCGGGTCACAACCAGCCTACTGTCTTTCCTAACCCGACCACAATAGCTCTCATGGGTAGCCTTTTCGTTCAACTACAACATTGACCTGGCACACCCCTCCAAATCAAGTTCAATGTGTATTGGTTGCTTGAAGCTTCGCTAATGTTGACTCAGTTGTTACTTTTCTGATTTTTTGTTAGTATTGTTTTACATTCAAGCTGATATACTATGATTGCAACTGGGAACCTGCTGAAGACACCTGATATAAATGGCCATATTCAAGCAAAGATGGAAATCCTTCAATTTTAGCATCTGCGCATGCCATGTTCATTTTAATTCCTTTCACTAAATCCTCAAGGAAGCATTCCACATATTCAACGGTTTGGCAGCCTCCGTTCCAGATAGCTGTGCGTCAATAGCACAAAGAAAGTATTGCAACAAGCCATGCTTAGCCCCATGACTGTTTGGAAGCATCCTGGAAAAGGACTTCGTCTGAAAAGGCTCGTTAGAATTTTTATAACATTAGATTTGTAAAAAGCGATACTAACAAACCTAGAAGGGACTCTGTCTGGAAAGGCTCGTTAGAACTTTTCTAACAATAGTTTTGTAAAAAGCGGTGCCAACAAACCTAAAAGTGACATGTTTGCCTCAGAAAACTTAAGTGATCCTCCTAGGTAATTGCAATTGATGGATTTTTAAAGAATAAAGATCACACAAAATTCTTACTGAACACGCATATCGACCCTTTAATATTGAAAAACAAAAGACTGTTTTTGTTCTAATTAACGTTGAAGTGAAACAATGGTTCGGAAATGATTGCTCATATTTGGAGGCTGTAGCAAGGAATTATATATCATTCCAGCATTTCCAGTGTCTGATACATATGATTTCTTAACAAAGCAAAATCTATATAGTTCTCCAGTCGTTGACTAAATTGAATTAGGATTGCAAACAAAAGTTATTCCTTGTTATAATATAAGAATTTAACGAAACCACAAGAGTTAATGTTCAAGTTCGTTTACTTGAATGGCTCACAGCTATTTCATGATTAAGAGTTTTGGTTTATAAATTAGCGAACTTATCACGAACTAAACAGAGATTAAAACTTGGCAAAAAAATCACAAAGCCAGAGAAAAAATAAGCGATAGCACCAGACAATGTCAAGAAAAATTTATTCCAATATAGAGCAGAGATAGAACAACAATAGATGGAGGGATTACTCGTGTGAAATGAATGAAGTGTAAACCAAAACTTTATCACAGAAAAAGAGAACACAATCCTGATCTTTCGAATGAACAAACAAGGAACTCTGCAAGATAGGGAACAGAAGAAGCAAGCTAGAATGCCTTGAATGTTTGGATGACTGCAATCCCACAGCGACGAAATGAAAAAACTGCAAGATCCAAGTGCCTGTAAGACGCAAGCGCACCACGATGTTAACTGCTGTTGCACTTGCGGCAATGACGCAGCTAGCGAGGTTCTAACCGGGGCGAGTCAGTGGCTGGTTGAAAACTTTTTCCAAATCCCATCTTTGTCCGGGGTTTGGGTTTGGCCCAGCGCCTTTGAGAACTTCTGGAAGGGCTACCTTCGGGGGATCGAGTAATATAATTTATACGCATATTTTACGTAAACTTAGCGTTTGAATTTTTTGATTATGTGTGTAATTTATGTTTCATTTGATAAAAAGTAATTTTTTGATCAAGTAATTCTTAGAGAAGACTAAAAAAGTAACGCAAAAACAAAAACTGAAATGAAAATAAAAATCAAAGTAAGAATCAAAGAGTAAAGAAAAAACAAATGTTTGACCTGAACAATGCAAAAAGCCATTCATCCTATTCCATAGGGTGACTTACGTGCGGGATAAAAACAAGGAGAGGTTAGTTATAAAAAGCAAAAGAGCTTTGTACGGCAGTAACAAATTTTGTATAAAAGGCTTGGCACTTGCACTGCAATGGAAAAAAAAAAAATAGACTACGAGAGGAGAGCAAAATAAATCAAACGAGAGGTCTCAATATTAAAAAAGGCAACTTGGACGGTAAGAAGAAGAAAAAACATAGAAGCATACGGATTTATTAGGCAAGTAATTGAATTTTCTTTAATTATTATTTTGATGGATTGTCGATGTGATATTTTATTTTTAGATTCGGTAATTTGTTTTACGGAGAGATAAGCTGTTAAGTCAAGGATGTATCATTTTAATTCTTATTTCATGTGATTAATTATTTTTCTTAACTCAAAACTTGATTTTTGATGTATGATAAATTTATATTACTATGTTTAATGCTTTAAGAGAATGATCACTCATATTGATTTAATGACATATGCTTGAACACGAGAGGGAATTGTATGTGTTAGATCATAGCAATATAAATCACTACTTTACTATTAATCAAAAGACAACTAGTTTTAGTTCAATAATAGAAGAGAGAGCTGCGTGATGGCATACTTATTTGACATCGGAGGATTCCATTGATTCTAATGCATTTAGATGTTAATTTAAGTCACATAGAAATATGAATGATTTGTTAGGTGAAGAATAGAGTTAATCCGACAAGGATAGCTTATTAACTTGTTCAAGGAATTTCGTCGTCACATATATTAAGATAGACCTTAAAGGTGGTTTATAAGTTGAGTTAATATAGTTAATAGTATAAATTAGAATTAAATGAATCTATCCCTACCTGTTTTCATACCATCTTCTTAGCAATTTTCAATTTTGCAAATTTAGAATAGAGTTTTAATTTAATTTTTATTCTTTTAATTATTTTGATTAATTCAACTTATTCTAAGTTAGGTAATTTTAGTAGTGCAATTTAATTCCTCGTGAGAACGATACTTTCTTGCCCTTTATTGCATGATTAGGTTAGATTTATTGTTTATCCGATTGTGTTAAAAAAGTAGTAACAAATTTTGATGCTAGTGTTGGGGAATTATAATTGCATATTGAGATTTATAACCGAATTAAGATTGAATTGTAATTTAACTTTATTTATTTATTTTTATTTGTCCTTTTCTTTTGCATTCTTCAATTCTTGTGAGTTGTAGGTTTGCTATTGCATGACCCACACTAGTAGTAGCAAACTTGCAGCTTTTGATCCCGAAATTGAAAGAACATTTAGAGAACTTTTGAGGGAGTAGAAAAGGAGCACTATGACGGATGATGAAAACAAGGAGCAAATAGTCATGAGAACTCGATTGAGTATGCCACACCATCCTTGGAGGGAGTAACCTTAAGTATTAGAAGGCTAGTTGTTGGAGCTAACAATTTTGAGATCAAACCGACCATTATTCGGATTATTCAAACCGGTATGCAATTTGGTGGATTACCTAATGATGATCCTAATTTGCATATTGCTAATTTTCTTGAGATTTGTGACACTTTTAGATTAATGGTGTCAATCCCGATGCTATTAGACTTAGATTATTTCCATTTTCTCTTAGGGATAAAGCAAAAGGTTGGTTATTGTCTCTTCCTATAGGATCAATCGGTATGGTTCGAAATTTTTATCTAAATTCTTTCCACCCTTAAAAGCTGCTAGATTTAGGAATGACATAACCACTTTTCTTCAATTTGATGTTGAGTCTTTATATGAAGCTTGGGAGAGGTTTAAAGACCTTTTTAGAAAGTGTCCTCACCATGGCTTACCCGTATGGCTTCAAGTGCACACTTTTTATAATGGTATTAACTCTTCTAATCGTTCTCTAATTAATGCAGCTATAGACAATACCATTATGAGAAAGACTCGGATGATGCTTATGACTTATTGGAAAAGATGGCTACTAACGACTATCAATGGGGTTATGAGAGAAATGTAAAAAAGGAAAGTGGTGTTTATTCGAGTAGATTCGTTTACTTCTCTAAATGCCCAAATTGTTGCTCTTAGTAAGAAAATAGATTCAATGGGAGTTATTGCAAATTTTAATCCTTGTGATTTATGTAGACAATTAGGCCATGATAGTACAACTTATCAAGTAGGTAATCCATTTGTGTCCGAACAAGCTAACTTTTTTCAAATGCTAATAAAACATGTTTTAACTTGTACTCCAACTCTTACAACCCCGAATGAAGGAGTCACCCGAACTTTTCATGGAGCAATGATCAATCGGGGGCCTAATGGATTTAGAGCACCACCACTTCAACAAGAGGAAAAGCCTAATTTTGATGATTTACTTGTTCAAATTCATCTAGAATACCGACACTAAGTTTGAAAGCCAAAAGGCATCCATTAAAAAATTAGAAGTATAGATTAGGCGATTAGCTACCATGATGGGCGAGAGACAACAAGGAGGACCGCCAAGCAATGCCGAGAAAAACCCAAGAGAGCAAGTCAAGGCCATCACCTTAAAGGGTGGAAAACAAGTGTGGTATTTTGGTACGGGTGAAGAAGCGGAAAGAGCGAGTCCTTAGTGATAATCTTAATGATAAATAGAATATTATAGAGGGTAAACAACCAAAAAAGAAACTCTTCATAGACCCGAATGTCAAACCATATAGACCTCTTATCCCTTTTTCTAAGAGACTTACACAAGCTAATCTTCATAAGAAATTTTTAAATTTTTTGGATGTTTTTAAGAAGTTACATATTAACATACCTCTTTTAGATGCTATGTAAATTCTTGAAAGATCCGATTGCTAACAAGAGAAAACTGGAAGAATTTGACACTGTGAAGTCTGAATGAAGAATGTTCCTTAATTATTCTCAATAAGTTACTACCAAAGATGAAAGGCCCGTGGAGTTTCTCTATACCTTGTATTATTGGTAGTATTACTTTTGAAAGGGTATTATGTGATCTAGGAGCTAGCATTAATTTAATGCCTTTCTCTGTTTTTACAAAGCTTGGAATGAAAGATCCGTTACCTACTACTATTTCTCTATAATTATCTAATAGAAGTATCGGATATCCTAGAGGAATAATAGAGGATGTTTTAATTAAAGTTGATAGGTTTATTTTTCTAGTTGATTTTATTGTACTTGACATGGAAGAGGATGTTAATATGCCTCTAATTTTGGGTAAACCATTTTTAGCAAATGGGGAGCTTTAATTGATGTTAAAAAGGGGATGATTAGCTTTAGGATTCATGATAAAGAAGTTGGTTTTAATGTTTCGAGAACATGGAAAATTATAATAGGGATGAAAAGCTTTTAGAATTGATTTGGTGGATCAGTTAGTCAATGAGGATTTACGAGTTGTATAAAGTTGACAATGATACTAATTTTTGTGTTGTGCATTCTTTCGATATGAAGGATGAAATCCTAGAAGAAGAAACAAGGGAGGTCGTAAACTTTATAAGAGAGAAATCTAGGTAAACCAATACTAAAGTAGAAAGAATTTTGGCATTGGATGTGGTTAACACTTTATAAGCTCGAATCATCAAAAAATGAATCTCCGACTTTAGAATTGGAAATACTTCCTTCTCATTTAAAGTATATTTACTTGGGAGACTCACATACTTTACCCGTTATAGTGTCTTCTTCTTTGACAGGACTTGAGGAAGAAACACTCACAAAAGGTGCTTAAGGAGTATAAGAAGGCCATTGGGTGGAGCATTAAAGATATTCAAGGAATAAACCCCTCGGTATGTATGCACAAGATCCTTATGAAAGAGAATCACCAACCAATGGTACAAGCTCAAAAAAGCCTATACTCAAACATGAAAGAGGTGGTAAAGAAAAAGATCATAAAATGGCTTGATACAAGTTGAGGTTGTTTTTGGGAAGCTGAAATCAAGGTGGAGTGGTCCTTATGTGATTAAGAAAGTGTTTCCTCACGGAGTCGTAGAGATTTCTCAAGGGAACAAGGAAGCTTTCAAAGCCAATGGGTATAGACTTAAACTTTATACAACGAATTTTAACTTCTCGGTTGGGACAAAAAATTTGCTCTTAAAGGATCCTTAAACCACTAAAAGTCCGGCGAATGATGTTAAACAACGAGTGCTTATCGAGAGGCAACCGAAGAATGGTTAGTCAACCATCACCAAATTTGTTTTCTAACCCTTTCTACTTTTAATTTTATACGTCCATGATTTGTTGATTTTGTGCATTACATTGGGGACAATGTAAAATAAAAGTATGGGGAGAGGATTTTAGATTTTTAATTTTTAGTCAAAATTTTAGTTAGTTTTCTTTTATTGTTTGTTTTATAAGTATGCAAAAAAAAAAAAAATTCATTGTGTGATAGATACTTTTTAATGATGTCAAGATTTGTGTAAATAATGAGAAAAAGTCAATTGAGTTTTAAAGTTGCATAACATGTTGAATAAAGCTGTCTTGCAATTTGAGGTTGATTAATATAGTTATTGATTTAAGAATGGTAGTAAATTGAATTTGGAAGACATATCCTGTGAGATTTTGAGCCTACAAGATTAAACTTTAATATCAATCTCTACTTCCTGTGTGTGATATCCCATGGATTTGTTACTCTATAACTTGCTTTGATTCTTGTTGAGATTACATGACACATGCATCCATAAATATGATAAAGGCCATATTTGAAGTAGCCATTTTAGCCTAAACGACCTACTATATAATTTACCATTGATGAGCCTCCTTAAGCTTGACCATCCTTGTTTTTAAATCTATTACAAGTCTATAACTTGA